GCCTCCGCCTCCTGGGTTCAAACAATTCTCCTGCCTAAGCCTCCCAACTACCTGGGATTACAGGCATTCGCCACCCTGCCCAGCTAATTTTCTGTTTTTAGTAGAGATGGGGTGTCTCCATGTTGGTCAGGCTGGTCTTGAACTCCCAACCTCAGGTGATCCGCCCGACTCGGCTTCCCAAAGTGCTGGGATTACAAGTGTGAGCTACTGCACTGGCCTACTGACTACATTTTTTTTTTTTTTTTTTTTTTACATAAGTGACTGTATTCTGATACCAGCAACTTTCACAGGTGTTTTTGGCTGTCTTTGAATTGGTTTGTGATGCACCCGCCCTGTGCTCAGACAGCGACTGTGACACCTGCTGCCACTTTCTCGCTGTGGAGCACGTGGCAGCGTTCCAGAAGCTGTGCATAAGAAAGGCCTGGGGGCCGGGCGCGGGGGCTCATGCCTGTCATCCCAGCACTTTGGGAGGCCGAGGTGGGTGGATCACGAGGTCAAGAGATCGAGACCATCCTGGTCAACATGGTGAAACCCCATCTCTACTAAAAATACAAAAAATTAGCTGGGCGTGGTGGTGCGTGCCTGTAATCCCAGCTGCTCAGGAGGCTGAGGCAGGAGAATTGCCTGAACCCAGGAGGCGGAGGTTGCGGTGAGCCGAGATCGTGCCATTGCACTCCAGCCTGGGTAACAAGAGCGAAACTCCGTCTCAAAAAAAAAAAAAAAAAAAAAAAAAAAAAAGGCCTGGGTGCTGAGCACAGGCACGCGCCTCTGAGGACAGTGTGAACATGGTCACATGTGCCCTTCTCCACAGCCCATGGACTCCTCCACACCTCCCACTGGCCCGCAGCCACATTCCCCCTGCACCCACGCTCTCCTGACCAGCATCAAGCCAGGTGCACACCCGGCAGTCCTGAGGCAATGTGCTCTCCTGGGAAGGCGTTTAGTAAACACAGAAAGCAATGAACAGAAGACAGAGGCGGCACGGCCCTGCGATCTCCCCACCCAGATCCCGGCCTCTTGCGCCATCTCCGGTGCCCCGCCCTCTCTATTCTTTGAGGGAGTATCTGTAAGACTGGGTGGCCCGGTGCTCAGTGCTCGCTGGGGCCATTGCCTGTAACTCTCAGCACACTCCTGCAGGTGGCACTGTGACCTCCTCCACATCCCAGCAGGGAAACTGAGGCTCAGGCAGAAGAGGTGCAGAAGCAGCTGTTGCACATGGCTGTCCACAGGCCCTTACTCCTGCGCTGAACCTCAATGGTGTCTTCCTGGCCCCCACAACTGTGCATACTGTTCATCGGCCTAGAGGACTCAGGGGCCAGGAACCTACAGTTAGGGAGACAGGTCCATCCCTGGCGCATCCGGGCAACAGCGGCACGGAGCACATGCTCTGGGTGCACTTGGCAGAGGTTGGGGTCACATCAGCTGGGCCCGGTCCTGAGTCCAGCCCCATGTCTGGTGTCCTGCACACACGCCCGGCCTGGGAGCCTTCCCCGAGGAGGGGTGCCTGAACAGGTTGTCCGGGCAAGGAGTGGGGAAGAGCACCTCCAGCAGGTTGGGGACCAGCACAGCAGGCATCTGGGACACAGTGGGACATAGCTGGAAGTGCAGGGACAGATGGGAGTCCCTGGAGGGTGGCCCTGCCCCAAGCGTTGCAGCAGTGGAAGTGGCAGGAGGAGCTTGGGCAGGGATAACCCATCCAACTTCCACTTCAGACCCGTGGCTCTGTGGGCCTGTGCAGGCAGCAGGCAGGGCTGAGCCTGGGGCGGGGGCAGCTGCACCTGAGACAGACAGGCTGCAAAATTTGCAGGGCCGAGAGCAAAATGAAAATAATTCCAAACTTAGAACTTCAGGATGGTGCCAGAGAGCACTGAGCTGGGCACTGGGCTTTCCACAACCACCCAGGTCACACACCCAGGGGCGGTGGCAGGCAGGGTGGGAGGAGGGGCTGCCTTCATGATTACATGCCTTAGGGCAGGACCCAGTCGCTACCTGGCTGTTGGAGGAACACAGGCCTTGAGGAAGTGAGTTGAAACTGACCCAGCTGTGCTGGTTCCCAGGCCCTGGCCCCGGCACCAAAGGACACAGGAAGCAGCCAGGCCCCTCGGCGCTGAGGCCAACACTTGGCTGGGGTTGTCAGTTCAGTGTTGGGGGAGTACAGGGAGCCCCCCGGGAGTAGAGGGTGCTGAGGATGGAGGCCAGTGTAAGGAAGGCGGAGCCTTCAGAGGCTGAAAGGGAGCAGATCAGGGAGCCAGGAGGAGGCCCGGAAAAGACCCCAGACCCCTGAGTCAGGGGGCCCTGTGTGCCTCGAGATGCCCAGCCACGACCCCTGTCCTCAGTCCCTGGAGACCTCAGCCCAGCTGCAATCCCTGGTGGTGGGTTGGAGCACCCTCTTTTATCCTGTGGCTGAGGCCCCTTGGGGAGCTTTGGGAGCCACTGCCCTGCCCAGCTCCGGCCTTGGAGACCTGCCAGGCTCTGCCCACTGCACTCCCGTCCTAGATCCTTGAAGCCTCTTCCAGAACCTCCCTACCGCGCACCACTCAGATCCTGGCCCTTTGCAGCCTCACGTGCCCCTCGGCCTTCCCCTTGCCTGCCTGTGTATGGAGGTGTGGCAAGGGCGGGTCCCTGAAGGCCGCTCTCCCCGCAGGCCTCCCTGAACCCCAGTGACCACAAGCTGGACGAGGAGCTGTGCCAGACGCTCACACAGCGCTACGTGAGCATCATGAACAGGCTGCAGAGTCTGGGTTACAACGGGCGGGTGCACCCTGCGCTGACCGAGCAGCTGGTGAATGCCTATGGCATCCTGCGAGAGCGCCCGGAGCTGGCGGCGTCCGAGGGCGGCTCCTACACCGTGGACTTCCTGCAGCGCGTGCTCGTGGAGACCGTGCACCCCAGCATGCTCACCGACGCTTTGCTGCTGCTCTCCTGCCTCAACCAGCTGGCGCATGACGATGGCAAGCCCATGTTCATCTGGTGACATTGCAGCTGGGCGGTCCAGGCTCGCTCAGCCCACACCCCTGTGCACGGCCATTAAAGCTTCTACCAACTCTAGCCGCTGGGCCCGTGCCAGCACTCCTGGGTGGTGCTGCCTCCTCTGGGGTGGCTCACCAGGCCCCTGCACTGTGCCCCTTCAGTCCTGCCTGCCCTGGAGGTCCGTGGCCATCCCGGGCCCCCTGCAAGGGCCCCAAGAGGCCAAGGCTCAGCAGTGGTCTGTGAGGGGTTGGTCTGAAGGCCCCCAGGCTCCCCTTCCATGGCACTGAAAGAAGTCGGAGCTCCTGGGACTGCGATGGGGAAGGGCAGGAACCAGGAAGGAGCAGCACGGGAAGGGCTGTGCACCTGCCGAGGCCGTGAGGGTGCACTCAGTGCAGAGCAGAAGGCAGAGGCGGGAGGAGACCAGGATGTGGGTGGGGGGGTCCCTGCCCCCATACTAGGCCAGGGCTCGGGGAGGGTCTTCCACACCTCGAGGACAAGAGAGCATTCAAGGGAGAAGAGCCAGGAGAAAGCAGCCTCGCCCCAACCTGGGCATGGGGCAGCCCAGCGAACCGGTGGCCCCTTCCCAAGACATCCAAGGCCATTCCACAGGCCCCGGAGACTTGGAGAGGGATTCACAGCTGACAAGGGCAGACCCCACCTGCTGCAGGAGCTGAGGAGCACCAGCAGGATGCGGAGGCAGCCCAGGGGCCACGCACAGTGCACTGAGGGCAGATGGGGTGCTGGGAAGGGCTTGTGGAAAGTGCAGGAAGCTGAGGGGGCCGCCAGGATGGGAAGTCGCAGGGGAGGAAGACACGTGCAGTGCGGGAAAGCCCAGAGAGGCCTCAGCCGCTGGGTAAGACAGGAGCGAGCCCACATGCAGGAAGGCGAGGAGGCCAGCTGCGATGGGAAGGGTGGGGGTGAAAACTCCAACCGAGGAGAGTCCTGGAGCACCAGTGCTTGCCAGTCAGAGGATGGCAGGAGGCAACAATGGACCCACAGGGTCTGGGTTCCAATGGGAATCTTTCAGCAACCAGCAAGGAGTCCCAGAACCAAGAGGGTATGCAGGGTGTGCCGGCCCTGCCGGGATGCGCGGGCCGCTGAGCTTGCTGCCTCAGCCCTCCCCACGCCCAGGCCTCCTGAGACTTCAGGGGATCCAGCCGGACACCCAACCTCTTCTCAGTCGCTGGGAAGGGCAGCCCTGACCCAAACTCCCAAAGCTATTTAACACATTTGCAGCAGCGGCGGGCCGCGGGGCTGCGTGCAGGCTCACACATCCAATCAGACGTCCAATTAGACAGGTGAGAGGCGAGCAGAGCCTGGGGCTCCTGGCCGGCCCGTGCTGGGAACCGACTGAGGGGTTTCCCCGGGGCTCGGCGACTGGGGAAACGCTTCAGTGAGGCGCGCGTGCCCCGGTGGAGCGCGCAGCGCGTGCAGGGCAGAACCAACGGTCCCTCCCTCTAGATTGGAAGCTCCATGGGGTAGGGCCACAGGGCCGTCACCACTGCGGGCTGGCCTTCTGAGGGGCTGTGCGGGGCGCTGGGCAGGAGTCCATCCCTCCTCGGGTGTCAGGTCTTTGAACTCAGGCGCCCCGACACCGCGTAGTGGGTGGGGTGGATTCTGCCTCGGGGCAACCTATTCCGTGTTGACCTGCGTGGGGACGAGGACTGGCGAGAAGCGCACACTGCTCCTCACCTGCGCTGCGCCGCCCGCACCCGGGAACGGTCGCCGTCCACGTGGCGCTGGCTGCGGCGGATCCCGCTGGCGTCAGGCGGGGCTCAGGATCCCCGTGCGGCCTTCGCAGGTGGATGGCGCGGGGCAAGGAGGATCCAGGGTGGGCATTGGAGGTTAGGTCCCTTTCGGATTTTCATTTGTTCTCCCAACAGCCGCCGAAGTTCCTCGAGGGTGAGGACTGGGCGGCTTCGCTAAGCGAAAGCAACGGGCTACCCAAGCCCGAGCCTCCCGGCCAGGCTCGCTGGGCCGGAGCCTCCCCGCGGGCTCTGTGCCCAGGCTGCGCCACGTGGCCTTCACCCCCGTGACTCCTCCGCAGTTTGCGCGGACGCAGACGAGTCAGCCTGTACTCTGACAGCCAATGAGCCTCCCCCGCGCCCCATCGCGGCCGCACCATGCAGTCCCCGGCCGACTGGCCCCCGGCCCCCGGCGCCCTGCGGCCCTCGCCCTTCCCGCACCCGGCGCTGCACGCTCTCCACCGCCTGGCGCGCGCGCTGCTCTTCCCGGCCTACTGGACCCTGGATCAGCTGCTGGGCTGCTGGGCACCGGCGGCGCGCCCGACGCGCCTGGGGTGGCTGAGACGGGCGGCCCGCGGAGGCGCGGCGCTGCTGCTGCTGCTGGCGGTCGGCCTGCCCCCGGCGCTGCCCGGCCTGCTGCTCTGGCTGTGGCTGCAGGTTTGGCGCCGCCCCTTCTGCTACCGCCCCCCTCCGCTGTGCTGGGCGCCGCCCGCGCCCTGGCGCCCGCCGGCTGAACCCGGGCGCTGCTTCGCCTTCCTCACAGCCAATCTGTGCCTGCTCCCCGACGGGCTGGCGCGCTTCAGCAACCTGCCGCACAGCCAGCGACGGGCCGAGGCCATCGGCGCCGCGCTGCTGGCCGGTCTGCGGCCCGCGCTCTACAGGGCGACGGACTGCAACCAGCCCTGGCCCAGGGCGCCGCGCGGGGCACTGGTGGCCTCGCTGCCTTTGGGTCTGGACTTTGTGTGCCTGCAGGAGGTATTCGATCTGCGAGCGGCGCGTCGCCTGGTGAACCGCCTGGCGCCCGACCTGGGTCCGGTGCTGTACGACGTGGGCACCTTCGGCCTACAGCCGGGGCCGCACCTTAAGCTACTGGGCAGCGGGCTGCTGCTGGCCTCGCGCTACCCGCTGCTGCGCGCCTCCTTCCGTTGCTTCCCCCATGCGCGTGGCGAGGACGCGCTGGCTTCCAAGGGACTACTGTCCGCACAGGTACTGGCGTAACCTGCGCGGCTCGCGGAGCGGGCGGGGGATTCGGCTGAGACGGCGAGGGAAGCTGGGGCCGGGGAAGCTGGGGCCGTCTGTGTCGCTGCAGGCGCAGCTGGGCAGCCTGGACGGGCGCCGCGTCGTGGGATTCCTGCACTGCACGCACTTGCAAGCACCGGCTGGTGAGCCCTGTGGGTGGGGTGCTTGGAACAGGTCCCGCCTCTCGGTGGCGGCAGGCAGCCGATCCCTACCTTCGCCTGCACCCCGCCCCCCAGCTCCCAGCCTTTGTATACTGCCCCAGGCAAGGGAATTCCTGAGAAGTGCCAGTCGGGGCTCACACACCAGGAACTGGGGAGGCGGGGGCTGGACGCCGGCTTGAATCGGAGCCAAGGACACCCCACGCCCCTCCCCGCCGCAGAGGACGGGCCCTTGCGCAGCAAACAGCTGACGCTGCTGCTGGACTGGGCCGAGCAGTTTGAGGCACAGAGCGACCACAGTGGAGACGTCGTGGCTTTCAGCGTGCTCCTGAGCGACCTAAACTTCGATAACTGCTCAAAAGGTCGAGCAAGAGGGAAGGGAGGGGGGGAGGGGGGAGGGCGCAGCCAGGAGGCCCACCCTCCTCCCCCCACCGCGAGCCGGTCTGTCTCTGCAGACCACGCGCTGGAGCAGGAACACGAGCTCTTCAGCCGCTTCCAGGACCCCTGCCGGCTGGGCACGCGCCAGGAGCAGCCCTGGGCCCTGGGTATCGCGCTTGTGGGGAGGGTTCCGGAGCGGGAAGCGGGCCTGAGGAGCGCCGTCGGCCGAGGCTCTGGCTGATGCCGCCCTCCCCCGGGCCCCCAGGGACCGTCCTGAGCACCTCCGCGCTCCACCACTCCGTAGCCTGCTCCCCCGAGATGCTGCGGCGGTGAGTGACCGGGAGGCAGGCACTGCCCGCCCCGAGCCCGCAGCGGGGCCCGGGCCTTGGCGACACCGCCCCTCCCCACCAGGGCCCTGGAGCAGGAGAAAGGGCGCCACCTCTACCTGGCCGGCCCTCCGCGCAGAAGCCGCCGGGCTAAGCCCTGGAGAGGTCGGCGCCTGGACTACATCACCTACCGCGGAGTTCCCGGCGGCCCGCTGCGCCCAGTGAGTGCCGGGGCCCAGGGTGGCTGGGCCTGCGGCGCCGGGACGACCCTCAACCTGACCCCGCCCGCAGGAGGTGGAGCAGGTGACGTTCAGTACCGCCCTGGCGGGGCTCACCGACCACCTGGCGGTGGGCCTGCACCTGCGCGTCTCCGCGTCCTCCTGAGGCCGGCGCAGACGGAGGGCGCGCGGCCCGCACACGCAGACACGGCTCGGGGCACGAAGGAGGCGAAGCGGGCGACGTCAGGGATCTTTATTGCTGCCGCTGCCGCCGGGCGGGGCCGAGCCGTCCGACCCTCACACGGCCTCCTGGGCCCGGCGGTACTCGAAGACGCTACCGTGCTCCGGGAAGGCCGGCGCCAGCGGGGGGGACCCCGGCGGTGGGGCGGGGTCCTCCGGGTCCCCGTAGCCACCGCCGCCGGGCGTGTGGAGGCAGAACACGTCCTGTGGAGGGGGGCGGGCTCAGCGCGGCACGGCCCCTCCCTGTCGCCTGCGCGCCCCCCCGCCCCACCCCGCGGGGCAGCGTCCGTCACCCGCCCCGCGGACCACAGAGGCCCAGCACGCGCCCCCTTTCCTTCCGGGGCCGAATTAAACTGGCGTCTGGTCACGCTTGCAGCCGTTCACCGTCTGCGGGATGGGGGCCGGTGGGGGGGACGGGGACAGGCCGCAGCCCTTACCCCGGGGTACACGGTCACCGACGTCTTGCCGCCCAGATTCACCGTCCGGCCGTTTTTGCGGATCAGCAGGTTGAGGCCGCGGGCGCCGGGCTCGCCCCCTGCGGAGGGAGGCGAGGAGTCCAGAGAGGCCGCGGAGAGCGGCGGGGGCGGGGGGCCGCGAGGGCTGGGGGGCCGCGCACCGTGGAGCCCGTAGGGCCGGAAGGCGCGGCGCTCGGTCAGCACCGACAGCAGCGCCTCCTCGCGAAACAGCAGCTCGCGGATGACGCCGTCGCCGCCCCGGAAGCGGCCTCGGCCCCCGGAGCCCCGCCGCAGCTCGAAGCGGCGCAGGACGACCGGGTACCTGCAAGGGCGAGGGCGGAGGCTCAGCGCGGCCCGAGCCCCGGCTCCCCCCCGGCCGCCGCGCGCGCCGCTCACCGGCTCTCCAGGATCTCGGGGTCGGTGATGCGCGTGTTGGTCATGTGGCTGTGCACGCCGCTGCGCCCATGCCAGCCGGGGCCCGCGCCCGCGCCGCCCGCCACCGTCTCGTAGTAGCCCATGTGCGCGTTGCCCAGGGTCACGTTGTTCATGCAGCCCTGGCGAGGGCATCCGGTCTCTGCGCTGGGCTGGGGCCGGGCGTCCCCACCTCGCCGCCCGCTCCCACCCCAGCCCGCCCCGCCCCGCCCCGCACCTGGGAGGCGGCGCAGGCCCCAAAGGCCCCCAGGATGACATCCACCACGCGCTGCGACGTGAGCACGTTGCCTCCCACCACCGCCGCCTCTGGCGACGGGTCCAGGATTGAGCCTCGGGGAATCACCACGCGCACTGGCGCCAGGCAGCCCTGTGCGGGGCGGACGGCTTTCAGGGGCTCTTAGGGTGGGTGGAACCCACTCTGGGGCTCCAGGAAAAACAGCACCTCCGCCAGCACCCTTGGGGGTCAGTCCGTGGCTGGGCCCAGGAGGCGCACTCAGGGTGACATCAGGCTGAGGCCCCCCCCACCCCGCTCCCACACACGCCCCTGCGAACCTGGTTGAGCGGGATGTCGCGGCCCACCAGACAGCGTAGGCAGTAGATGAGGGCGGACAGGGTTATGGCCCGCGGGGCGTTGAGATTGCCAAACACCTCCGGCCCGGTGCCGCTGAAGTCAAACACGGCGCTGCCCTGCGCCCCGAGGGAAGCGAGAGGGTGTCAGCCTCCGGTCTGTGCCCCTGCTGCCCAGAGACTCTCCCGCCGCAACTCACCTGTCTCAGGTTGATCTGCACGCGGAGGCAGATGGGGGAACCGTCATCCATGTGGTCTTCCGAGGACACCTCCAGGGGCAGGCCCTGGGCCTGCCGGGAGGTTCCAAAGGCACGCAGCATGTCGCGCACGGCCAGCTCCGCGTTCGCCTGGCAGGAAGCAGGGTCAGCGGCAGCCAGGCCACCTGCAGGGTGGCCCTGCCGCCCACACTCCTGTGCCCAGGCCCACCTGAATATGGCCCATGTAGGCCTGCACGACATCCAGGCCGTACTGCCCAATGAGCTCCCCCACCAGCTGGATGCCCTTCTGGTTGGCTGCCACCTGGGCACGGAGGTCTGACAGGTTGTCATGCAGGTTTCTGGTTCCACTACAGTTGGGGACCTTGCCTGGCGCCCGCAGGGCCTCAGTCACCGCTGGATGGACAGTGTTATCACTGAGACCCTGGCCAAGCCTGTCTGCCCCCCAAACCCAGGTTTCCCAGACCCAGACAAGGTCTCCTGCCCCTAGAAAACAGTGATGTCTGGCCTGGGACTGCTCCCCACCTCAGGAAAGGCCCGCTCCTTGAACCTGGGTCAGGGTCCTCTCTGAGGCGCCCTGGCCACAGGGCCCTCTGCAATATGCCTGTGCGTGGCCCTCTGGTCCACACCCCCTGCCCAGCTCATACTGACCAAAGGAGCAGCCAGGAAGGGGCCACCCTCTTTGTGCTGACACCCAGAACGGCCTGTGGTTCCATGACACCCACCCGCCCTCCACTCTGGCCACGCCACTTCCCCTGGGCCCCCGGATCTGCAGCCTCAGACCAGGGCTGCTTTCTCCTGTCTGCCCTCCCCCCACCCCTACCACAGGCACCCTCCCTGCAGCTGCTCAGTGCCAGGGCCTCCACCTCCAGCTGCCCAAACTGACCCTGATCCTGTCTCCCCAATCTCTCCAAATACCCACCTCCACCTCCAGAACAGCCCCCCACCCCCTGTCCTCACCCTCCACTCAGCCCGACAGCATCATCCAAGGCAACAGCAGCTGCACCCCCTTTTGCCCCCCAGCCTCTGGGCCACTCTCAGACCCCGCATCCTCTCTACACGTGGGCGCAGCAGGAAACCAGCGCAGGCCCAGCTGAAGGCCCTTCACGGCCACTCGCCTCCCAGTGACTAGGACCCAGGCCCGGAAAACTCTCCAGGGGCCTCTGGGCCCTGCCCCTGCCCTGCTGTTTCTCTGCGGCCCCCCACCCACTCTGACTGCACACGCCACAAGCAGCTGCCCACCCTGAAACAGGCTCCTCTGCCTCCAGCACCCTGACCCTGCACGTCTTGGCTAACTCTCCACCCGCAAAACCACCCCCCAGAGGCCTTCCTGGGCGGAGGCTGAATTCCTCTCAGCTCCTGGGATCTGACCTGCAGCTGCCCCCTGGGGTCACCACCTATCTCCTCCCAGCCTCAAGGCAGGCCTGGGCCTGTGGACTGCTTCCCGTGCCCCAACCAAGCCTGCTTCCCAGCAGAAGCGGTGTCCCAGCCCGCAGCAGGCCCGCCCCACCCCAGTCCCACTCACCCTCCTCCTGGAAGACGCCCCCCTGCACGAGTTTGAAGGACAGAAAGACGGCGCCCTCTTGTTGCAGCGTGGTGGAGTGGGGGGGCATGGAGCCCGGTGTGATGCCCCCGATGTCTGCGTGGTGCCCTCGGCTGGCCACATAGAACACAGGCCGCGTCTGACCCGGCCAAAACACCTAGCGGGTGGAGAGCCATGGTCAGCTGCATCGGCCACCCTGCCCCAGCAGAGGCAGGTGGGTGGCACCCCTCACCGGTGTGATAACAGTTAGGTCTGGCAGGTGGCTGCCCCCGGCACTGGGATGGTTGCTCAGTAGCACATCGCCAGGTTGGAGGTTGGCACCCAGGTGCTGGATCTGAAACCAGGAGACAGGTGCAGAGTGGGCACAGGGGGACAGAGCGGGATGGGGGGTGAGGGAGGGAGGGCGAGGGAGGGGCCGCCGCACCTGGAACTGCACAGTCTCCTGCATGGCGCCCAGGTGCACGGGGATGTGAGGGGCATTGGACACAAGCCCCCCATCGGGCCCAAAGAGGGCACAGGAGAAGTCGAGGCGCTCCTTGATGTTGGTGGAGATGGCCGTGCGCTGCAGGATACGGCCCATCTGCTCTGGGGGCACAAAGTGACCAGGCACCCGCTGGTCCCACCCACCCACAGCATGGCCCAGGAAAGGGAGGAACAGCACCCACTAGGGCTCAAACCCAGGACCCAGCAGCTTTTACCTGGGGAAGACCAAGGTGGCGGCATGCCCACTTTGCCTATGTAAAGGACACCACCTTCCTCCTCAGCCCCTCCTGGAGCTCCCAGCAAGAACCTGGTGCCAGCCCTCAACCCTCCCAGCCTTCCTGGCACAGCAAGAACCTGCTTCCTAGGCTCTTGACCCCTGGGCTCCCACTTAGCCACTGGCCTGACCCTGCACAGATGGGTTCCCTGTGGTGTCCTCAATATCCCTCCTGTGCTCGCTTCGGCAGCACATATACTAAAATTGGAATAACCCTCCTTAGCCAGGTGGGCAATTCCCAGATCACACGGTGACGGGTGGGAGGGGAAGGTGTGCTCCCTGCCCAAGGCCTGTTCTCACGGCCAACTGCACCCTGTCAGTGCTGCGGCCACACTGCCCGCCCTGTCGCCAAGGGGTCCTATTTTTGCCTTTCCTTTAGGGCACAGCCCTTCCAGCCACCCTATGACACAGATGCCACCTTAACCCACAGGGAGCCAGGGCAGCAGGGAACCTGGCAGCGGCCACTCACCAGCAATGCTCATGAAGCGGTGTGAGAAGATGGACAGCTGGATAGGGTCCAGCTGGGTGCCCACCGTACCAGGGGCTTCAGCCCCCACAGAGATGCGGATGTCCCCTGTCTCAGTCACCTCTGCCTGGCAACCTGGCTCCACCAGGATGGTGCTGAGGAGCAGAGGGCACAGAGAGGCTGCATGGGGCCAGGTGAGACCCCTCCAGCCAGAGACACCACAGTCCCAGGCCAGGAGACACCCCAACAATGGTGGAATACAGAGTCCTGCAGGCCCCTGCAACCTCGCACCAGAGGCCCCGCAGTTGACCCCTCCACAACCTCCACCCTGGCCGGACCTCAGCCCACCTGTTACTGTCGATGATGAGGCAGGGCCCCTGGAGCTTGTGCCCATAGCCCAGCTCTCCCAGCAGGTACACAGGGGTCTCCTGGTAGCCCCCCTCAAAGTAGCACTGGGTCATCTGCAGAGGGTGTGGGTGAGTGCAGCCCCCGGGCCCAGCACCCACCCCAATGCCTCTCGCAGGCCTTGGTCCCTGTCCCCATGCCCCACGGCTGCTGTCAGG